TGCATTTGAGTCTTCTCCAGCTAAAGAGTCCCTGATTCTTTCAGCCATTCCTCAGTGAGAAGGCTTGCTGGTTACGTTCTACCTGCAAACTTGTGGGTGCTTCAGTGGCCACGTTAATATGAGATACCTGGGACCAAACACAAATATCCAAGATGTGGTTTGACTTGTGCAGAGTTTACTATGGGTGATTACAACCCAGGATTACAATCAGTGGTTTGGGAAGTAGAAACCTTTAGTTAAAGGAACTTTAACACAAAGCCCGCTTTGTATGATAAATAAAGGGAGATCTTTTCAGGTTGAAGGGAGTTTTCTGGACAGATGGGGAGGCCTACCTGCCCATGCTGTCCCTCCTCATAAACTGTGGTGGCCAGTGAAACGTTTTGGTGCAACTCTGAGGGTTTTGTGGCTCACCTCAACCTGAAAAATGTATTGTTAAAAAAAAAATGTATTACATATTTCTTTGAATGGAGTCCAAGTTTTCAGACTCAATAGAGGTTATGTTAAGTTTAAGTGGTACTACAATTTCATTTATTTTTACATGAACAGCTGTCAAGTCACATTTTGCCATCCTATAATGTAAGATTTTTAATGTTTTCCTGTTAAATTTAATTTTGTTGATCTATATTTCAGCCTGTCAGGATCATTTTGGGCCTTGATTTTGTTACTCATTTGTTATCTTTTTTAATCTTACCATAATTTAGATATTTGTCAGTATTCTAGCTATGTGGTATTTAGTTATGCTTATGTTTATTGACACAAATAGGACTCAATGAAAGAGACTTTTCTTCAAATTGACACCCAGACACTGATAAGATTTTTTTTGAGTTCAGAGACTTTATACCCAACATTCCTAAAACTAACCTAACCATCTTCTACCCCAAAACTTTCTATCTTCTTCAATGTCAGCACTACGCGTATCTCCCTATGTTTGAAATCTAGACAGGCTTGACTTCTTCCCCTTACCACATATTCCCAATTGTTCACCACCTGCTGATTCTACTTACTAAATGTTAGGAAGTTCCGTGATTTTCATCTCTCTGCCACAGCCGTTGTTGAGGTTCTTCTTTGCTCTCAAGAAGCAATGGTAACTTCCTAATGGGCATCCTTTCTTCCGGTCTTTTCCCCTTGAGTTCTGTTCTGCACTCATTTCCAGTGTCATCTGTCTGAACCAAAATTTGACCATGCGGTTCACATGATTAAAGCCCTCCAATGGCTCCCTGTCCTACAGGGCAAAGCTGAAGTCTTCACCACAGCTCTCAAGTTCATGATCGGACTCTGCATCATCATATTCTATCACTCCCTAAACTGGGCTTGATGCTTTCACAACTTGAAATGGCTTGTAATTTGCTCCATGCCCATAATGTCTCTTGGTTTTTACTGCCTTCTTTGTCTGAAATTCTCCCTAATCATGCTACCACCCAAACTTCTTTTTTGTCAAAACTTATTTGTCTTCAGATTCAGCTTAGGTGTGCTCCTCCCCTAAGATATTCCCCAGACCATCTCCCGGAGCCTGATTTCTGTTCCCATCCAAGTCTGGCTTATTAGTCTTTATCTCTATAGCTTTGTGCACAACTCTATCCACATTTTGTTTATCCTTCACTAGATAGTGAGCTAGTTAATGGTAGGTTCTATGGCTCACTTATTTTGGTATATTATAATTTACATTTAATCTGGTCCTTAGCAGTAAATATTTGGTGAGTAAAATGATGGATGAATGAACCTTCTTAAATGCACATAATTATCTTATTTTCCAACCCAATTTTACCATCACCTGCACAAAGATATGTGGACTAGTTAACCCATTAACTATTATGTTGAAATGTAAATATCCTGTCTGATGTTTTTTTCATCTATCAAACCTAGTTAAAAAAAAAAAGGAATTTGTTCATTGTAATGTACTAAGTGAACATATTTTGGACTTCTTTCCATTACTGTATCCTTTCCTAAATGCACCCAAACAATTCTGGAAGGACTGGATTTCTGATTGAAATTGATTCACTGGAAAACACTTTTTATATGGTTCTTTATTTCCAATAGCTTCAAACAATTAAATCTAAATTCATTGACTATGCCCTGTGATACTGTAAGATGTGTCTTCTCACTCTAAGCAGTAATCTCATTGCGGGAAGGAGACGTATGCTTGAAACAGGTAACATTAAATTCAGCAAGTGGCCAAGTATCAAAAACAACGCACAGATGATAAGTGTTCGGCATTTTTATGAAACGGTGATGATTTAAACAAGCGAAAAACAAACCACCAACATAGGAATGGGCAGAGGCATAATTTATAAAAAGTATAAATTACTTATGAAGGGCATGAGGCAAAAATGCAGGAAACAGAACCTCCCTTGATTTTATGTTGAGCTAATTGTGAGGCTAATAGGGTTATTCTAGAAATAGACATAACAGTACACCTGAACTTAAAAATTACATAATGTTTGGAATAGAGGTGGATGATTTCATAAGAACTTTTTCATGAAGTTTGATAGCACAGTAATCAGATAGGACACCTTGTCTACTGAGTTTGTGTCTACTCGTAAACACATTAAAAATAGAAAAGAAAAAAATGAAAAGAAGAATTCAACATAGGGAAAACCAGCAAGTGATTCCTGGGATAGGCGTGCTGTAAGATGCTTCAGATTGGTAAACCTTTTCAGGTTGCTTCTAGAAAGATACACAAGGAAAGTTTGCTAGGTTTTTTCATGTCTAGAAGGAAGTATAATTTGAAGCAAGTACACATTTTTCAAGAACTCCATTCATTCATTCACATTTACCAACTATTTATTAAGTACCAACTCTCCGGAAGGTACTGTGTTAAGCTACAGAGTTCCATGGTTGCTAAGTCAACATTATGAATTGATTTCCCATGTTCCAACCCCCCCCCAATAATATTTTGTCCATCAACCTGATATAGCCTACTGTAAATTAAAGAGCAGTGCCTGTGTGAGAAATATAGGTCTAGTCATGCCTTGGGCAAATTATTCAGCAATTCCGTTCTCAATTGGAAAATGAAAGGGTTGAACCATTTGCTTTCTAGAGTCCTTTGAGGCTCTAAAATATAATGATCTAATTAATTTTGATGGCCGCCTGGCTTACACTTTAGTATTTGTGAGTTTGTTTAGTGCCTGAACATGCTGATTGAGTTGACTTTGTGAACTTGCACAGATCAAAGTTCTGAAATACAGTGATGACAGTGTGCTCATTTAAGTGAGAAGACATCCTTCTGTTTGTAGGGGAGGTGTGAACTTTCATTCCTTAGGTGTTTGAAATCTTAATGCATTAATATTTATTCTGCTTTAAGAGAATAGTTAAAATATTTCTGTGCCTGGTTGAGATGGGGTACTTTGATTTTATGACATTTTATATAAATAAATTTTTAAATGCACTGCTTAACTACATAGATATTACTATTTCAGACATGGCATAGACATATATCATTTTATATCTGTTACAGTAGATAAAATTGCTGTATAAAGTCTAAATTGTTCCATCAACAGAATTGAATATTTTAGTAAATTTATGAATGTTTGTATATATATGAATATATGTATGTATATGTATGTGTATATATGTATACATATATACATATACATGTATATATATATGCGTATATATATATATATAAAATTACCAAAGTCACATAACAAATATTATCTCAAAGTCATTTTTGAAAGGGAGTATTTTAATGTTCTCAGTGAATAATTTTTCTCTGCCTGACAGCTACTGTTGTATCCTGGGAAATATTCAGAGGAGAAGATAAAATTATTTAGATTTTCAGCTTCTTGTCATGGGAGGTGAAGGCCCGTTATTATTATTAATGTAATGGGAATAATTCCATCACATTGCATCTCTGCACAGCATTCTGAGAACAACCCTTCATCACATAAATAATTACAGTTCTAGTTTTTTTCATGCCTTCTGCCATTACTTTCCTACCCCTCTCAACCACTTTCCATTTGTGTGAAGAAAGTAGCCCGCCCCTCAGATAAAGTTTTCCCCAAATACTGACAAAAAGTAGGTACTTGCTGGTAGTGGTAGGGTGGGGAGGAGGGTTGTTTCTTTGCCCCAACAAGACCCAGGTCTGTGCTAGCTGGAAAGGAGTGTGTGAGGAAACAGGTGTGCGTTCTTTTCAAAGTAAACTTTCTTGCATGTGGAAGTTACAGCATTTTTCCAGAGCAAGAATCAGCGTCTGGCCTGGTATGTTTTCTCTCCTCATAGGCCTGCTTCTATAACCGGGACTCCTGGCTTGGTCTCAGCAAAGACATCCTATATACAGTGGTACCAAGGGCTACACTGGGCCTGAGTCCTCTTGGTGGTATGGGGTGAGCAAGTCAGGCAAGATCCCTGCTCTTAGCGGGGGAGTATTCCCATGAAGGAGACAGACAACAAAGCAAGGAGGAGGTACAGGACAAGGCTGGGTCAGACGGCAGTGAAACTGCAAAAGCAGGGCGGGAGGGAGAACTATGACCTGAGCACTTACCTTCTCCTTGTTCCCATTCCTGCATTTGGAATTCTGTCTGAATGGAGGCAAGTCATGGGGCAGGTAGAGTGTATCTTCCACAAATCCTTCTTTTCTGTGTCAGTTTTGCCCCTCAGTGATGACTTGTAGTTTCTTGTAGGTGGCTGGAACAAGCCCCGTACTGTTACTGAGTGGAGCGTGGTGGGTGCACAATGTTTGATGGTTGTCATCGCCGGGGGTTTGCAGGGGAGGTTTCGGCGGTGAGATTCCCAGCTTTACGTAAAAAAGGCACGCGGAGCCGACATGAGGAAAACCAGCATCTTTAATCACCAATAGCAACCTTATATAATGGTTTGGGGGAGGAGAGCGCAGGGGACTGCGCATGCTCCCTCCTGCAAGTGCAAGTCATGCTTACAGAAGGGCTTAGGTAACTGGAGCCGACGCACCTGCGCAGCAGGCCCCGGGGTCAAGGCTCGTACCCCAGCCTGCACATATTTGGACATACCTGGGTCTGTGTTCCAGGCTTCCGTTCATGTATTAGAACGTACCCGGGCCCTGTCAGTCCACCCCCTGCAGGGTGGCAGTTTGGGACTTGACCATAAGAGCATGTCCCTGTACACAAAGGCCGCAACAGCACTACATGGAGCAATAGAGGACCACTTGGCTGACAGTGATACCTGCCAAGATAAGGCCTGCCCACCTCCACGAAGGGCCCAGGGAGTCTCACCAACGCGAAAGGGGGTCCTGCGGGGCTTAGATCGCCAAAACCTCATTGTCTATTTCCTGCAAGGCCTCCTGTACCTTTTGTTGGTGGTCCGGGATGTAACCACAGCATTCAATGTGCAAGAGGGTACATGTTCCCCTCCTGCTCAGTAGTTAATAGGCCTAGAGCCACCCTGTTCTGCAGTACCACCTTTCTCATTTGTGTTGTTTCATTAGGAAGCAGGGCTAAGGATGCTCGTGTGATGTTCAGAGCGTTTGCGACGTGTTGGGCAAGGGCTTCCACCAGTAGCCCTACGTCTATCACTCCATCCCCTGGCAATAAGATGGCTAAGGGGTAAAACCACCAGGCTACCTGTTTCTCCCAGTGCCAACAATAGTAGACTGGGTCCCAATTGGCTGGCCTTTGGGGTAACGTGTGCAGGAGGTGACCGTGAATAAAGGGGTGCCCTCAAGTCCAGCGGCCCATCCATCGGGCTGGCAGATATGTCCAGCCGTAGAAACCACAAACCCATCTGGCAGGGAATCAGTGGGGTTCGTCCCCACTATACGTCATCCATCCCACCAGTAGGTCGGGTTAGTTACAACAGTAATGTTGAGGCAGAGCTCCTCAGGTAACCAGCCCACTGTACAGTTTGGAACCGTGGGGTGTCGTTGTTCAACACACACAGGAGTGCGGTAAGACAATGTTACATGAATTCCCACCAACCACCCCCAGGCATTGTCCACAGCCTTGCCGAGGAGAGTGGGGTTGTTGTGGCGCTGCCTTTGCAAGAGGGCTTCAACAGTGTGGCGGCGAGTGTTCCCCTCCAGATTGCTCCAGTCCCCGTGCTGGAGGTCAGTCCAGTTGGTACCAGTGACAGGGGAGACTCACCAAGGCAGTCCATCAGTCTCTGCTGGCAGCTCTGTGCACACCCAGTAGTACGAGGTGTTATGCACCCGGGCACAGATGTGCACCCAGGATAGAATGCTGTTTCCTGTGACTAACCTGGGCGATATGACAGAGCAGATAAAGAGACCATCATGGGTAAGTCACGGCTTTCTGGCAAAATGCAGGCTACATGCTTCTCCTGTGATAGCACCGTAATCGATATGGGGGCAGCTCCTGGTCGGTGGTACCCCACCTGTGCTCCATGGGTCATCAGTAGGGGGCTGGGGGCTAGATCCATCGAGTACCGGGGTATGGGCCAAAGGGGTAGCACGGGGGTTCCTCATAAGAGGGACCCGCTTACCTTGGCTGGTAAAGTCACTTGCACCATGAAGGGCCAGCGCCCAAGCCAGGGTATGACCTCCAGGCCCTTCTCTAGACCCTGTTCCCAGGGCTCAAGCAGGGCGACCCAGGGTTCTTGGGTGACCTGAGCCTGCCAAGGCCAGGTCCATTCCTGTGTCCTACCGGTGCTACCGTGGATGGAGCAGGGAGGATTACCATCCCCTACTTTAGCCTGGGCTGTACCTCCGGGACCCTGGTCCCCGTGACCCATAGGAGTTGCGGGAGCCCCTCAGTTACCTTGTCCAAGGGGGCCTTACCAGTCTTCCATGGCTGCTCATTTAATAGGCAAACAGCTACTAGTACCTGGTTTTTCCAATGTTTCCACCTGCCACTACCCTTAACTTGTCCTTCAATAACCCATTAAAGCGTTCAACTGTACCGGCAGCCTGAGGTCAGTATGGGACGTGTAGTTGCCATTGGACATCATTGTCCTTCGCCCAGGTTTGAACCTGTGAACCTGTACTGTGGGTGCCTCGATCACTGACAATGAGCAAGGGCCAGCCATAGGCAGCCGACAGGTGATCCAGTGCTAGGAGCGTGTGTCGTTGGTCTGCCTGGCCACAGGGTAAGCGAAGCCCAGCCCAGTGGCAGTGTCCACTGCCGTTAGGGCGTAGCGGGCTCCCTGGTCTGCAGGGAGCGGCCTGATGTAGTCTACCTGCCAGTCTCGTAGGGTCCACACCCCCTGAGGTACGGACCCCATGGAGGTGGGCAGACGTCATCTGTGGGGCAGTGCTCTGCACACCAAGGACACTGATGGACAGCTTGTTGTGCCTCGGCTCTCGTTAGCTGTAAGCCCCAGCGGGTAGCCACCAGCCCCATGGTCCAGGCACCCACATGGCCAAGCTTCTTGTGGAGCCAAGCGGCCATGGGGGCGCCACAAGTGAGCGTACTCGCACTAGGGCATCTGCCATATCATTGCCGGGTGCATGTGCCTGTGCTTAGGCCCCTTCTCCACAGGTCCTCCCAGAGGTCCCTGCCCCATAGCGGGCAGTGGCCAATCAGACACTCTTGGGCTGCCCACCTGGGCAGCCACAGCATCAGGCCTCAATACACAGCCCAGCTGTCAGTACGAACATGTACCGGGCCAGGTTCCTTGGTCAAAACCATCCAGACCACCCATAACTGGGCACATTGGCTAGAGCGTCCGGTACCTGTGTCACACCAAAAGGTGTCAGTGAGGGGTTGTAGGGCTACAGCCGCCCATGTGGGGGGCTGCCCT